CCAGAAGCTCCCCAAACCCAGTCCTTCTGGGTTTTTATGGAGACTTCATTATTTAGGTATAATTGATTACAACGTTGGTCACTGGTGATCAATTCAACATTCAGCCCCTCTCTCTTCCCTGGATGAGGGCGGTGAGGAGATTGAAGGTGAGGAGATCATGTGGTTGGTTCCCCTGGCAAAGAGCCCCCATCCTGAAACTATCCAGGAGCCCCCAGCCAACAGTTATCTCACTAGCATACAAAAAGACATTTACCACTTAAAAGATTCCAGGAGTTTTAGGAGCTATGTGCCTGGAAACTAGCCAAAAACCAAATCTACGTATATCCTATAAATCACGATAACACAGTCCACCTCCCCTTTTTCAAACACAGATTCTTTACATCAAAATGATCATATAAGTCAGAAGATACTGGCACATTCAGTCCCATTCACTCATTAATACAGTCATGCACTGCCTAATGATGTTTTGGTCAACAAGGAACAACATATACAACAATGGTCCCCTAAGATTATAGGTGAGCTGAAAAATTCTTATCATCCAGTGACACTGCAGCCATTATAATGTCCTAGTGCAATTACTTTATTTTTTATAAATGTAATATGGCCTAACTGGACTGTGTTTCTGAAGTCTACAGGAGTGTACAGTAATGTCCTAGGCCTTCACATTCACTCACTTCTCACTCACTGACTCACCCAGAGCAACTTCCAGTCCTGCAACCTCGATTCATGTCAAGTGCCCAGTACAGGGATACCATTTTTAAACCTTTTATACCATAAGTTTTACTGTATTTTTTCTATTTTTAGATATATTTAAAACACAAATACTTAGCATTATGTTATAATTACCTAAAGTATTCAGTACAGTCATATGCTGCACAGGTTTATAACCTAGGAGCGATAAGCTATACCATATAGCCTAGGTGTGTAGTAGGCTATACCACATAGGTTTGTGTAAGTATGCTCTAGGGTGTTCGCACGATGGTGAAATGGCCTAATGACACATTTGTCAGAAATTATCCCCATCATTAAATGACACATGACTCTAATTAGTCCAGTCCATTATCACGTCTATGAAAATGTCTCCCAGGGTGGGGCCACTCAGGTTTGCAGGCTTCCAAACCTCACAATAACTCCTTTGAGAGGTTTGCAATGAAGGAACATAAGGAGCTATGGCTGGGAGGAGATCTCTTTTCTTCCCTCTTTAAAACATGGATGGAGAACATCGCACATGAAGGTTTAATCCTGCTCTTCCTTAGATTCTTGTCACACCTATTTAGCAATGATGCTGTTCTTATTTTATGGATACAGGTCAGAGTACTTTAGGATATACTTATCAAAAGGTACCCATATTAAGGCAGAGCATTTTTTCTGAGGCATTTAGAAACTACCAAAGTTTAGTTTCACCAACGATTACATTAACAAGTACTTTCCATCTGCTAAAATAGTTTTGCAGCCTGGCAAGGTGGCTCACGCCTGTAATCCCAGCACTTTGGGAGGCCGAGGCAGGCGGATCACGAGGTCAGAAGTTTGAGACCAACCTGGCCAACATGGTGAAACCCCATGCTACTAAAGATATAAAAATATTAGCCGGGTGTGGTGACACGCACCTGTAATCCCAGCTACTCAGGAGGCTGAGGCAGGAGAATCACTTGAACCTGGGAGGCAGAAGTTGCAGTGAGCCAAGATCCTGCCATTGCATTCCAACCTGGGTGACAGGGCAAGACTCCATCTCAAAAAATAAAACTTTGCAAAGCTATCTCCAACTTCTGGCATTTCTAATAGAATATTATTTTTTTTAAAACCTGCCCTTTTTCCAGACTATAGAACATGTCTACTTCCTATGTGCAATCTGAGGTTTCATTTGTTTTCTTCTAAATTTGTTTTCTGCAGCAAAACTCATCAGAAAAAGAAAACTTACTATTGTATATTTTTGTAAGGCAGTTTTAAATTGTGGTTGTTAGTCTTTGGCTTAAATGATTCAAACCAAAGATCTGAATCAAGAGAGTGGCAGAAATTCTGGTTCTAGTCCTAATTTCAAAATGCAGAATAGGAACACATAGACTTTATTGTATTTTGAAAACTTTGCAACTAAGGGATCAAACAATATAGCTGTGCATCTTCCCAAAGAGTTTTAGTAAGTGCATATCTCTAGGCAAAATTCTGTTTATTCTGGCTTAGCTAAGCAGGCTATTTGGAATGCAGAACATGGAGGGCAGCTAGTTCATCATTTCAGGCTCTTGCCATCTGCTTCTTCCTCATGTCCCCCTCTCTCCTGGCCCTCTCCTCTCCTTTTCTTCTTTCTACTTTTCTTTTTTTCTTTTTTCCCTCTTTTCCTCTCTCCTACTGATGTTCCTCTTTTCCATTAGTGCAAATTAATATATTTTTGCATCACTGGCTGTCCTTATTTTTAAAATACTGGGGCATCCTCTCTTCACAGTACATTTTTCATTAGTTTTTTGGCTTCAGAATAATATTTTCCACTATGTCACTTGTAGATTAAATCTGCAACTTTGTAAGCTTACTTTTTAAAAGTGCTTATGACTAAAAAAAATGTCACTGTTCAGTTGCCTGTAGGCAGAGCTTTATTGTTTTGCAGCACACAGATTGCCCCTCATAGAAATGGATTTCCAGCTTTAAGACGACTGGTTCCTTATACTCGTCGGCTTAAAGACTAAATCCACCTCATAATCCTAAGTGGCAGGTCTACTTACTTCTCCCAATTTCTCGTTGTTTTGATAACTGCTTTCGAGCCTAGGCTAGACAACATTTTTTTAGGTTCCTTAGAGTCTATTTTTATAACCTGTGTTTAATTTATACCTTTGCTTGCTATATTGGTGCTGACATGGCCACAGGCATCCATCCAGATCTTTATTTCACAGGCATTTCCTGAGCATTCATTTTGTACTCAACGCTGCAGATATGAAAACAAACAAGACACAGTGTTTCCTCCCCTCAAGTCTATTGACAGGGCAGACCAAAAAAATTAAAAATAGTCATAAAGTGTGGGCTTTCTCTCAGACTACTGGTAGAAATGTGAATTGATGCAATCCTTTTTGGAGGTGATGTGGCTGAGATTACTAGCTGTCTCCTAATATTCACTGTCCCCTCCTTCAGTGGTAACAGAACCCCCAAGTTGTAGCTGGGCACGTGGTCACACAAAACAAATACTACAGTTCTGAGTGCCCTTTCAGCTATATGTGACAGGTGATTAAGTTCTGGCCTAAGAGATGTAAATGGAAGTGTTATCTCCAATCTCTTGAGTCAGGCCTTTAAAGAGAATAGACCTTTTCTCCCCTTACCTGTTCTTCCTTTCCTCCAGCCTGCTTGTTAGAATGTGATCTTGGCATTGAGCCACCTTGGATCAAACAAATGAGGGAAACACCCTAGGCATGGCAGAACAAGTTGAGAGTAGCCCAAGGCCCTTGTTGGCCTCATGCAATAAAGCTGCATACTTTTCATGCAGCCCTGGCTGGATTAGCTATCCCCAGACAGTCATGTGAGCGCAACATAAACCACTGTTTTTTTAAAGCAGAACCTGTGATCTAAAACTAATTAGAGGAGTCTTGAAAAATGCGTATCAAAACACTTCAAAAGTTCATATCCTTTTAGGCCAGCCATAGTGGCTCACGCCTGTAATCCCAGCACTTTGGGAGGCCGAGGCGGGCAGATCACTTGAGGTCAGGAGTTTGAGACCAGCCTGGCCAACACAGTGAAATCCTGTCTCTACAAAAACACAAAAATTAGTCAGGCGTGGTGGTGCACGCTTGTAGTCCCAGCTACTTGGGAGGTGAGAGAATTACTTGAACCTGGGAGGCGGAGGCTGCTGTGAGCTGAGAGCACGCCACTGCACTCCAGCCTGGGTAATAGAGCCAGATCTTGTTTAAGAAAAAAAAAAAAAGTTAATATCCTTTTAACCCCAAATTTCCAGGTAATCAAAGAAGTATGTGCTTCTGTAGTGAGATACCTCTTTTCCACATAACCTTTGAGTCTGAAGCTCCTGCAGAATTCTTATGAAGGGCCACATTTAGCTTATATAGCACTTCCTTTAGCTAAAGCCTCTGACCAAGTACCTGGGAAATAAACCACACTCAGCCACCCCACTTGCAAATATTACAACCACAAAATGCTGAAGTAGAAATTTTTCACAGGGACAAAAATACAGTATGACAATTTTTCAATGTCCCCCTTTGAGGTTTTCAAAGTCCTGAATGTTGTAAACAGGAAGATATAAGTGGGCCAGGCACTGTGGCTCACGCCTGTGATCCCAGCACTTTGGGGGGCCAAGGTGGGCAATCACTTGAGGTCAGGAGTTCGAGACCAGCCTGGCCAACATGGTGAAACCCTGTCTCTGCAGGCGGGTGCCTGTAATCCCAACTACTCAGGAGGCTGAGGCAGGAAAATTACTTGAATCGGGAGGCGAGGTTGCAGTGAGCCAAGGTTGCACCACTGCACTTCAGCCTGGGAGACAGAGCAAGATTCTGTCTCAAGAAAAAAAAATAAGCTGTAAGTGCTGGAGGACGCTCTATGGCTTTCTGGTAATTCTGTTGCTATGAACTGCTCACACGTGCCGTAGCACTTCTACCAGCATCATGAGTTGTTGCCATAATTTTCCGAAGGCTGTTCTGGCAGTGCACTCACACAGTTTTAATCTTTTTTTGTCTCCACGTTTTCTAATGACTGGCAGCTCACTCCACATGCTTTGGTTATTATCAGAATATCCTGAAATTCAAGTTTTCTCTCAATGAATCAGGGTTATTTCTATCAACAGTGTACATGTTCTTCCTGCAAAAGTGCCAGATAAAGAAGATAGCTGATTCTATAACCAGAGATTAATTACTGCTGGAAGAGCAAAGGCAAGCATGCCAGGGAAAGAGAACTATGTGGAGTACAATCATCCCAAAGAGCATGGCCTTGTCTTCCATTTTAAAGCATCAATGGAGGGTTAGAATGACTAGCACCTCTTACCCTCTAGCCCCCGCTTTACTTCTTAGAAGAGGATGGGGTTCTCACTTTAGCCACACATATACTAAAACTGGGATGATACAGATAAGATTAGCATAGCCCTTGGACAAGGATGACAAATAAATTCTTGAAGCATTCCATTAAAAAAAAGAATTTTTAAAAAGGTGGGGCACTCTTAGGGAGGTCCTAAGCCCTCCTTATTTTCTGATACTTACAACCAGAATACAATGAAGTGTATGTACAAATTTTCACATGCAAACACATTCTTGGCTTCCACTATCTATGACCATGGCTTAAATACTGCTTAAATCACTGCTGGGTGCTGATGAAAGAACTCCCACTGCAGATTAGTTCCATGATAATTGCATAACATTTCATGTTAAATAAGCCCACGGTACTACTCAGGAGCCCTATTACTTGTCTCTGTTCAACATCATTCCATTACTGACCATTACAAACCTTTTCCATTCTCTTAAATCATTTCATCCCTTCTCCCTTGATCTCAGCACATGAGCTTGCCTCATACTTTGGAAAACAAAATTGAAACCATCAGACAGAAATTCCCTCATCTTTCTGATATGATACAAGAATCTTTCCACATTATCTCTTCTTTCCCTCCTGCTCCTCATATCTGTTTTGAATTCTAACCCTGCTCACACTTTCAAAAATGTTACAGTCATTTTTTTCATCTCTCATATATCTTCCACATACATAAGATGTATGTATGGATACACACATCTCAGCTAAATGCATCTCATTCGCTTTTAAACCTGTTCGTTTCTCCCGACCGTAAATATAAAAACAAATTACCTTGCCTACATATTTGTCTGTAGCTACTGCCCCAATACTCCCATCTTCTTCACAGCCAAATTTCCAGAAACTTCCCCTCTCGCTCTTCATCACTCCATTTCCTTCTGGATTCTTCCTTCACCTCACCACCAATCCATAGCTCTACTGAAACAGGTCCCACTAGAATAACTAATGACCTCCATGTTACTGAATCTAATTAATATTTTAATCCCAATCTTATTTATGTTTCAGCAGCATTCACCTGTTTATCATCATCCTTCTTGAAACACTTTTCCCTTGGCTTTTCTGACACCCATTTCCCAGTTTTCTTTCTACCTCTCTGGTCACTTTTTCATTTCATTTTCAGGCTTATCCATTACTTATCCTAATAGTAAATGTCAGAGTTCTTTGAGGTTTGGCCCAAGGCCTTCACCTCTTTTGATTCTATATTCTCCCTAGGTAATTTTTTCTGCCCCCACAGCTTCCATTATCATCTATATACCAATGACTTCCAAAATATATCTCTGATATACTTTGGATATTGTCCCCTCCTAATCTCATGTTGAAATCTGATCCCCAGTGTTGAAAGTGGGGCCTAGTGAGAGGTCTTTGGGTCATAAAGGCAGACCCTCATGAATGGCTTGGTGCTGTTCCCTTGGTAATGAGTCAGTTCTTGCTCTATTATTAGTTCATGTAGATCTGATTGTTAAAAAGAGCCTGGCACGTTCCTCCCCACTCTCTCTTCTTCCCTCTCTTGCATGTGACACACCTGCTCCCACTTTGCCTTCCACCATGATTGAAAGCTTCTTGAGGTCCTTACCAGAATCTGACGCCAGAACCATGCTTCTTGTACAGCCTGCGGAAACATGAACCAAATAAACTCTTTTATCTATAAACTACCCAGCCTTAGGTTTTCCTTTATAGCAACACAAAACAGACTGAGACAATCTCCCATGTGAACTATTCTTCTGAGCTCCAGGGATGTATATCTAATTGCTTTCTAAATATCTTCACATGGAAGTCTCAAGCATACATCAAATGCAAAATGTCAAATGCCAGAATCATGATCTCCCACTTGAAAACAAGTGTTCTTGCAGTATCCATTCAACAGTAGAAGCCAGAGAGTTACCCTAGACATCTACACACCACCATAGTCAATCCATAGTCAAGTCCTGTCCATTTCTCAAATATCACTCATCAGTCACCAAAGGATTTTTCTCAACAATATTTTTAAACTATATAATTAACAAACTTATCAAAGAAAAGCATGGAGAAGAAAGTATATCTTCCTTGGAACAGTATTAAATTTCTCCTTAGTCAGATTATCTTAAAGTATCTAGAAAATCCTTCAATACATGATTTCAAATTACTGATGGATGATATCATTCAGTTATCTCTGCTTCAGAGAACATGAAATCCATGAAGATTACAAATACCCAAAACATTAACACAACTTTTTTTTTTTTTTTTTTTTTGAGAAGGGTCTCATTCTGTCACCGAGGCTGGAGTGCAGTGGCACAATCTTGGCTCACTGCAACATCCATCTCCCGGGTTCAAGCGATTCTCCTGCTTCAACCTCCCGAGTAGTTGGGATTGCAGACACCTGTCACCATGTCTGGCTAGTTTTTGTATTTTTAGTAGACACAGAGTTTCACCATGTTGGCCACGCTAGTCTCAAACTCCTGACCTCAGGTGATCTGCCAGCACCTCCCAAAGTGCTGGGATTACAGGTGTGAGCCACCATGCTCAGCCAACACAGCTGATCATCTTCCTTTTCTTTATTTCCTTTATCAAATGCTAGGATGACTTCCCAAGCCAGAAACCTAGAAGTCATCTTAGATTCCTTTCTCTCATTTATCCTCAACCACCATTTCATGCACATACACAATATCCTAAAGATTCAATTCTCTAAGCATCTTTGCAGTCCATCTGTATCACTCCTTCTTCACTGCCACGACAGATTCTAGCCATTACCATCTCTTGACTAATCAACAGCAATAACCTCCCCATGCATTTTCCATCTTACAATAAGTCGGGTTCTGGTCATTCTCACACTGTAGCTAGCACGACCTTCTAAAAACTCAAATATGTTCAAACTTTTTCATTGGTTTCCCACTGCTCTGCAGAACAATTTATAATAACTCACAATTCAATGTGCTTCTGGTGTGACAGTGTTTTTCTAAGCACTTCACTGTATTAATTCACTTAGTCCTTACTATGGTATTATGAAGTAGGTACTGATGTTATCACATTTTACTAATATAGAAACTGTAACACAGAGAAGCTACATGTTTCCCTTGGGGTCTCATAGCTATCAAGTGATGGAGCCAAAATTCAAAGCCCGGCAATGCCATTTCAGAGTTTGTGCCTTTAACCTCTATATTGTGTTGTCTTATAAAACAACATACAAAATGTTTAGCATGGCAAGCAATACTTTTCCACTTTTAGACTCATCTTCTACTTATAGGTCTTGAAAAGTCGGGTCTTATTTTATCTCTAAGCCTTTTCCCACTGATATCAATACTGCTTTACCTAGTCTAGTCATTTAGATTTAGCTCAGGTACTACTTCATTCTATAAGCTTTCTCTATTCTCTCCCCCTGATTGGATTGCGAGTCTCCTCTGTACTCTCTACTAAAATATAAGTGAATAAAATTCTGCAATATTTTAAAAGGCACTCACCATTTAGTGAAGAGGACAGTCTTCTAACCAGACAAGTATGTGGCTACGTTATTTTGAGACGATCATTTGCGTTTTGCCCTGTTTTTTCTCTTTTTCATCCCATTTCTAGAAGATAAATGGGCCATTTTATTGTTTCTTACCCATGGAAATTCCTCCTCCCCTGTTGCCACTTGTCTACACTTGCCTTCCTGGCTTTAATTTTCCCAAAACCCAGACTCATGGGAGAGATTATTCTCTCTAATATCAGTGAGGATCTCAAGACAACAGATGAAATTCCTTTTAGAGCCCTGAGAGATGGAAAAGGGACACAGACTTTAGACAAAAAGAAGTCAGGAGTCTGATAGGAGTTGGTGGTGGCAGGGAAAATAGGGAACAGCTCAACATTTGATGGCAGCAGCCTAAAACAGGGGCAAAAGCTCAGAAAAGTTTCAATGAGTATGCCGAGCCTGAAATACAGGGGACCCAAACTCAGCAGTGATCCAGTTCCCCAAGCCCCCAAGCATAGCATAAGAGCAGCAGCAGCAAACATGAAAGGACCATTCCAGGTGGAGACAAAATGGGGTATCAGAGAGTACATCAGGGAGTTGACAGAAGATTAATGATCAATAGCTAAAAGGGCCTCCCCAGTACGGATGGTCTCCAACTTACAATGGTTCAATTTACAATTTTTTGACTTTACAATGGTGCAAAACCATCACAATTTTGATATACGTTGAATTTTTATTGTTTCCCAGGCTAGTGATATGCAGTTACATGAGATAGTCGACACTTTATTGTAAAATAGGCTTTCCGTTAGATGATTTTGCCAAACTGTAGGCTAATGTAAGGGTTCTGAGCACGTTAATGGGAGGCTAGGCTAAACTATGACGTTGGTAGGTTAGGTGTATTAAATGCATTTTCAATTTATATTTTCAACTTACAATGGGTTTATTATAACCTCATCATAAGTTGAGGAGTATCTGTGTTTTGGTGTAGCCTAAGGCCTCAAAATATTTGTATAACTCAGCAGGAGGCTTGAGTATTGACTAAAATTGTGTGTCTTACTTTCCTGGCAGAATGTTGAATACAGGAGAGCTTATAAGAACATTTTAAAATGTGAAATTTCTTGCATATCCATTTGTGGACTAGATTCTTACTAATGTCACTTATAATAAAATGTAGTAAGTTCCAGGAAAGAGGCAAGCATTTAGAAGCACAGAGGACAGGTACTCAATCTGGTCTTGGGAATGGTGGTCAGGTAATTAAATAAATGCAGGGAGTTGATAAAGTTTAATGAATTCAGGGATCTACAAATAGTTTGTTTTTGGCTGCAGTATAAGATGTACATAGGCATGCCTTTTGAGCCACACTGAAAGACTTTGGACTTAATCCTGAGGGCTATCAGATACTACTGAAGGATTTCTGAACCTGAGGGATATATCCAATAGACAGCTCAGTTTAACACATGTAAACTGCAGGAATACGGCTTTTGCCACCCTTGAAAGAACAGATCTGAGGGGGACAAGAAAGGAGACAGAAACAACAAGTTAGGAGACTTTTAAATAGTTCAGGATAGAGATAATGAAGACCCATAGTACGAAAATAATAATGCTCTAAAAAAGATGGAACACATAACGTATATTAAAGAGGTAAAATGGACAGGCTTTAGTGATCAGTTGAAAACAGAGAATAAAACTGGAGAGATTGTAGAGATATTTGGACCACTGAATTTGCAGGTAGCATTTGCAATAGAGTAGTTCACACATGAGACTACAGAGTGACCAGAAAAGAAGGAGGAAGGAAAGGAGAAAGTGGTATCACAGAAACTAATGAAGCAGAAGATTTCAAAGAGAGAGTATTAAAAAGCAAAGTGCCTCACATGTCAAAAAATTCGGGGACTTGAGAAAGTAGGACAAGAATTGAAATGTGTCTGTTGCATTTGGAAATAAGAAGTAATTAGTCTTTTTTTTTTTTTTTTTTTTTTGAGATGGAGTCTCGCTCTGTCGCCTGGGCTGGAGTGCAGTGGCGTGATCTTGGCTCACTGCAAGCTCCGCCTCTCAGGTTCAGGCCATTCTCCTGCCTCAGCCTCCCGAGTAGCTGGGACTACAGGCGCCCGCCACCACGCCTGGCTAATTTTTTGTATTTTTAGTAGAGACAGGGTTTCACCGAGTTAGCCAGGATTGTCTCTATCTCCTGACCTTGTGATCCATGCCCGCTTCGACCTCCCAAAGTGCTGGGATTACAGGCATAAGCCACCTTAGTAAAGGCAGTTATATGTGTGGACCACTTTTATTGAAGCCTTGTTATACAGGTTGTACACAACTTGGTTATACAGGGAATGGTCAAGAAAAGATGTCTCTTTTATTTACTTTTTATTTTTATTTTTGTCATGAAAAGAACTCAATGGGAGGAAAAGGTTAAAAACACAGAGAAGAAAGAGGATAATTATGAAAAGGGGCCCTGAGAAAGCAAGAGGACAGCATGTGCTCTAAATCACAGACAAATTGAACTTGGACAGATAGAGGGCTAGTTTTTCCTCTCAGACAGGACAAAAGCATAGGTGAAGATACAACTCAATGTGTGTGTAAAAAACAGGAAAGTGGGTGGATAAGTGGTTCAAGCAGATCTGATGGCTTTTATTTTCTGTGTGAAATAGCAGGCAAGCCCATCTCCTGAGAATAAATGCATAATAACTGAGTTGGAGGCTTAAAAAGAGAGGAAAAGGTTTGCAATAACCACTAAAGAGGATGTAAAAGAGCCAAGGGAATTCCAGAAGAATCTGAGTAAGGACATGGAGAAGGATGATCTGGTTAGCACTGATTCATTCTGCAGTTCTCAGCTAAGACGTCAACTGCTCAAAGATGAAGTCCCTGTTACGTGTTTTCAGAGAATTGACTACCTTTCTTTTAGAGACTTATCATGGTTTAAATCTTATATTAATTTGTGAGATTATCTGATTAATTTATGTTTCATTGGACTGCAATCATGAGGTCAGGGATATTAATTTTGCTCATCATTGTATCATTTAACCTTTAGTTTCCCATCTCTAAAATATGGAGAACAATAATTCCTTTCTACATGATCAGGAAATGGATATAGTTAGGTTAGCATGAAACTGGAATTTAAGATATAAGAAGACAGGGACTTCTGATTGTTCATTGATGTATCCCCGGTGCCTAGCACAGTGCATGACACATTGTAGAAGCTCAATAAGTATTTACTTGAATGAATGAAACAAATATAGCTTCATATTTGGTGTCATAGGACACCAAGTCTCTAGACTTCCATTCTAGTGCTCTTCCCATTCTCCTACAGCTATCTACAGCAGATGATTGATGCATTATGTTTATTATGCTAAGGGTCAATGCATATGCATTATTATCTTTGTTTTGCTCAAGAAGAAAGTGAAGCTCTGAAAGATGAAGTATCATGTGCAAATTAAACAGCTAGTAAGTGGTGGATCGAAATTCAATCCTAGGTCTGTGTCACTCCAAAATTTGATCCCTTTCTAGTATTCCATAATACCTACTCAGGTATTAGACAATAAAAGGTTTCATACATGAACCTTTCTAGGAGTATGCATAGTTGAAATTGAAACTTTCCCATCAACCTCCCCACTGGCAAAGAAAAATAAACAAATAAAAAAGCATTACTTTAGTGGTAAAAAATCTCAGGAAAAGTAACTATGACAGGCCAATGAAGATAACATTTATGGGCATTCATCTACCACTGCCTCCCACATCACACCATGGAAGCACCTACCAATCTACTCTATGTGACCCTATATATTATCCGTCTCCCCAGAATAAATTTTTACCCCACAGGCACAATGGAAGACCCAATTCTAAAGAGTTTATCTTCTCAGAATTGTCTCAGAGTGACCACAGAAGTAGCATGGGGTAATGGAAAAAGCCACATAGATCTTGGCATGACAGTGATACGGGAGGGGGGCAGGAAAGTGCTGGGTAGAGAAGGACAGAGTCCCTGGCAAGGGCTCCACCCTAGGGACTGTGCCCATGGACCTAAGTGGGAACAGGCACTCCTGTTTTCACGCCCAAATGTTGCATTTTCCATGACCACTCTGGCTCACCATGTTCCCCATCCTGTGCCCATAAAAACTTGAGACCACAGCGGGCATGGACACAAGTGGTTGGACATCAAGAAGAGCAGAGGAACACACCAGCAGACATCAGCAGACATCAGCAGACCAACATGGACACTGAGGGGAGTTTGACCAGGGGCGGTTGGAGGAGTATCCAGGGGAAGATCACCTTCGCACTCCATCCTCCTTCTGGCTCCTCATCCATCTCACTGAGAGCCACCTCCACCACTCAATAAAACCTTGCATTCATCCTCCAAGCCAATGTGTGATCTGATTTTTCTGGTATACTGGGCAAGAGCTCAGGATACAGAAAGCCCTCTGTCCTTGCAGTAAGGCAGAGTCTAATTGAGCTGATTAATACAAGCCATCGGCAGACAGCAAAGCTGAAAGAGCACACTGTAACACACACCCACTGGGTTTCAGGAATCATAAACACTCACCTCTAGGTGCTGCCATGGGGTTGAAGCCAAAAGCACTTCCCACGACCTCTGGACCTGTCTGTCTGCGTGCTCCCATAGGGGTTTCAGCAGCCTGACACCGAAGAACTGACCCTTGTGGCATGCCCTGTGAGGGGCATAAGGGAACTCTCCCGTTTCAATACTTGAGCTATCTCTATCCCAATGTTCTTATCTATGAAATGAAGGCAATATTACTTGCCTACATAAGGCTTAGGAAATGATTAAATGGAATAGTGTATATAAAATGTCTGTAGCACAGTGGGCATAATAATTCAATTGTTAGCTGTCTAGTGCTTCCTTCATATCCAGAAGCCACCTCCTATTGATTCCTTGAAGACACTGAAAAAATATATCAAAAGGAACAAGCAACCCACCCCACCCTGACTTCTCCAAGTTGTAGCAAAATACATATGATACATTTCTTTGATTAAAAAAAAAAATGCCTTGGAAGCAGCAACTAATCATTTACAGGTGAGATCTCAGCACCAAAAAATAAAAACAATCCAATAGGCATTCTGCCTCTCCTTTGTCTTATCCTACCGTTCAAATAGTTATTTCTAACATTTTATTGCCTTTCATAACATTAGGTAGAGTCAGGACATCTGGTTCATTTTACAGATGAGGAAAGTAAGATAGGGAGGGTGGGGTGTCCATTCCAAGGTCACACAGCTATGCAAGGAAGATCTAGAATTGGAAATCAGATTTCTTGGTCCTTAGTTTAGTACTCTCCCCACTTAGTAATAATAAAGATAATAATAGATCTGTGCAATTTATTTGAGTCACAAACTCTCTAAAACATTATGGAATTTATTAAAATTTCAGTCAAAAATAGCTGAAATATTTTATTGTCTAATATCTTAGTAGGCAGTGTGGAATAGGAGAAAGAGCTCAGATTTTGAAGTAAGGCAGACTTGGGATTGAATTCTAATTCCACTCTAAAGCATTCCAGAGTTTTAAAAATTTCAATAAAAAATAGCTGATGCGTGCTTGTAGTACCAGCTACTTGAGAGGCTATAGAGGGAGGATTGCTTGAACCCAGGAATTCAAGCCCAGCCTGGGCAACAGAGTGAGAACCAATCTCTTTAAAAAGTTGTTTTTAAAGAGCTCATTAATCTTTGGTGTTCATGTCCTGCTTTTTTGTATCGTCTTACATATTTAAAGAAGAAAACTAATCTGGAAGCACCCAAAATAGGTACAGTTTGTAAAAGTGATGTTCATTATTTAAGTGTTAACTATAGAGGAAAACAAGCATCAGAAGTATGCGATGATAGTTCATTTCAGAGCAAAAGCTGTGAAAATTGGAAATTTTATATGAATAACTCTACTGTATATGAAATCATAATATAGGAGCAAATTATGCATAAAAGGACATGCATATTCTATAACTTAATTCAAAACATCATACAAAGATAATGAAATCATTCATTTTAGAGAAGTTCTATGATTGTCTGTGAGCTTAAGAGATAAAAGTTGCTGCAAAGTCAAGGATTCTGACTCATAGAAAAAAATCACATAGAAATTAATCTCAGAGAACATCCTAACTCTAAAATGCAACTACCTTACCACCACCAAAAAAAAAAAAAAAAAACAGGTTTGCTTTAAAGAAGTATGAATTTTATAGAAAATAAAGGCTAATAAGAAAACAACAATAAAAATTAAAGCAATAGTGCTATCCATACTGATGATCCAGCACCCATAAGCTTCATGTGGGAAAAAAATGCAGTACTCCCCAAATTATTGTTGTATCAAATCAAACTATTTTTGCCCCAAAAAGATTCAAGATCCCATTAGGAAAAAATGAAGAAAGTGAAACAAATATTCAAAACTTACCTCTTACCTGCAAACTTTCTCCCCTAAAGTATCAGACTTACTCTATATGAATAATGTGTCCAGTTGTAATCAAATTCTGTAATACCACTGAAGACTGTCTCAATGAACAGCTCCTTAGTTTAAATGGATTTTAAAGGATCTTAGAACTAAAGCCTTTCTTTTAAAAACGTAGGAGGAGCTCTTGCTTTATCCATGAAAAATACCAACTGTCATTAGAAAATTTGCATTCAAAACAGGTCAGCATTTAAGGTTACATTTGTCAAAAGATTCAGAGGAAATTACAAAGTTCATCTGAGTGTTTTCTTCCCCCTTTTAATTAGCTCCTGATACAGCATCTTAGTATGCCAGTGTTTTCTTTTTTCTTTTTTTCTTTTTTTTTGTTTTGTTTTAGCTGTGTGACTCATGACATTGGGAAGCATTTGATTGCCAGGTTTATGTTGTTTCCTCAAAGTGTACTACCCAAAGGCATTATTATTTTGAGTTTCAAATACTTTAAGTACAAAAGGAGTCATAAATAGATAAGGAATCCAGAAACCTGGATTCTACTCTAGGCTTTCCCTCCCAGTCAGCTCTGTGACCTTGGGCAATTTCCTTAACCTCTTTGGGCCTCAGTTTCAAAAACTTATTGAATGGGATCTCAGAATTAATCTGGTCTAACCTCCTATTCCCAAACAAAAATTGCCCCTGTACTTTCCCTAAGCAATTGTCAGTTTCTCATGTGTAAAAGGAGCCAATAGAACTATATCATTGTCTAAAGCTTCCTTGATTTCTAAAATTCTTGATGTTGTAATTAAAATTCAGTAAGTGTTATGTATATATGTTGTTTCCCATTGGAAATTTATCAAATCATTCTTTACACAACCAAACAGGAGTTTATTTTTGTAAATTCAGGCCACCACCAAATTGTCCCTTATCCTTCAAGTCTCCAAAGAGGTTTTGTCTGCCCCTGGTTTAATCTCCATGTCCAGGAACCACGCAAAGCCATAAGAAGCCAGAATACTTTTGATGCTTTTCTGGAGCAGATGAGATGCCAGTCATTTATTCCCAAAAGGGAATGAATTGAGGCTGTATCCAATCTGTACACTATCCGATAGATACAAATTATCTTCCTTGCTTTGGAACACAGGTTCAGACTTGATAACTTCTCTCAGATTCTAAAGATAGGTTTTACACTAAATACGTGAATAAACAAATAAAAGGCAAGAGTGTGAATGAAGAGTGGGCCACGTGTGCAATCCTCTCTCCACCATTAGCTTTATGTTGTACCCCAAGATGTTTTTTACCCCTAGATGTCTTTCTTTTTTATTCATTTCCATAGCTGATGTTTCTCCCTAAATTAAAGTTAGGAGGGTGGGAAGAAACTGGGAATTGTTTAGGGAGTTTTGTATTTACTTTTCAGATGTCAGCTGATTTGGCTCTCTCACAATAATTTTTAGCAGAAATTATTTATCAGGCCTACAGGAGGAATTTTCTAATCAGAATTTGCTGACATGACGGTAAGAAAAAGAAGATCTAGATTCAAAATCTTCTTTCTTTTTCCTGAGATTGCATTTTCAATTAACTAATTTGTCTTTTTCTATTTAAAGAAAAAAAAAAAAACACACCTCCAGGAAGTTTTCTTCAAGCTTCCTGTTTCCCCTGAATCCTCTAGCTCTTGCCAATATTTCACTACGCTATAACTTATCTTTCAATGCCACTAGCCCAACTTCGTGATATTCTTATTATATACTATGATATTGGAGTACAATTCAAAGAAATGGAAGCATAATAGTATCTTGGAATAATAAAGTACATTTATTTGTAGATATGCAAACCACAAGTTAAATTTAGTTAATCAAATACAGTTAGAAACAATAATGCACCATGCCTCAGTTGTTAAAGTCCATTAGATATTCCTTTCCACCTTGATTTGATAGCTTAATCAGTGAAAGCATAAGGTAAGCTTTGCTTCTTGGTGTGAAAAAAAATACACTAAAAAGATAATTCATTTTAATCTACTAAAAGTCCTATTTGAATGCTTTCTAATGGCATCAATACAAATAAATATATTCTTAGCTTTGAATAAATATATTCTTTGTCACTGATACTTGTATACTTGTACCTTAGCAATCATTAATCTCTGCTCCAGACACAAGGCATGTTTCAGGTCCTAAGAAAAGAAGATTTGGGAGTAAACTTGAATGGTGCAGAGAAAGGAGGATGGGTAAGACTACTTGGGGCAACCCCTCTCTAGCTGCAAGATGGTCTACCCTAAATTGAAGAGAAGGTGTAAACCCAAATTTGATGCAGACGTTGGGTAAGTGTTACCCAACGGGTGTGGAGTGAAAGGTACAACAAAGCCTAAGAATGGGGAAATTTTTCAGGACAGTTGAGGTTAAGTCATTGTGACACAATTAGGTGCAGCTAGAATGGAGCTAGGCTAGACAAGGACGTTCCATAGCCTCTCCAGCAGGAATATATACACTACTTTATTTTATCTAGTATCCCCCTCAGACAAGCAAGTGGGTATTATTTTAGTTTTACAAATGACTATTAAGTTACTTTCCAGAAGTCAAAAATTCAGGAGAAATCAAACCTAGGTCACCTAGATTTGACACCTAAGCTTATGCTCTTCCCATAGAGTCATTCCACTGCTGGAATGTTTTGTTTTGTTTTGTTTTGTTTGATACCTCAGTAGCTAAAATGGTCAACTGGCAGATGTCATTCTGTAAAGCTTTATAATCCCAAGTATTCTGTTAATTATCAAAACAGGAAATGAGTATTCCTAAACTGCTATACAAATGAGGTAATCGGCAAAGGCAGCATCTAATGTCTCAAGTATTTAATGGCCTTGGTAAGGTTAAAGGGCATTAAATAGGCAAAAACAAGAAAAATAAACAATGCTTTGACATTTAGGTTATATATATATGCACATGTACACACATGGTTTAAACAAAATTCCCTGAATTTGGTAACAGTTTTTAAACATTCATGCAAATGTCACTTCTAAGGTTCTAAAGGCATTTTTAAAAAATCAAACCATCCCCACGAGACTGACTTGAAAAGTTATTTGGTAAAGTTGGCATATTGCATAGAACATTGGTCTCCTATAAAGAACACACTCTGTGAGATAGAGGGCATCAAGATTGCCTGCTTTCCCCCAAATCCAGTTAGTTTGATAAAACTAATTTATGAACTCTGAATTCACCCTCTAGACTACCACAGATTCAACAGTAGGAAACCAGACCTGAGATTCTCAGGAAACCCACAAGATTTGGAAAATACAATTAGCAACATCAGGGTCTAGTCCCTAGAAACTTACTGGAATTAACAATTAATACCAGTCATGAACAGAGACCACAGAGGTTAGCTGTGCCAGACTGTTTGCCATTCACTCATTCAAGAGTTACAAAGCAATAATGTGCCAAGCATTGTAGCTCACATTCTAGTTAGAAGGATAGAAACCAGAAACTATGAAATATTTATGGTACAGTGTGAGAAGAACAGGACACTATGATAGAGGTCATTGGCAGCAAAGGGAGCTCAGAGGAGAGAACAACAAACTCTACCTGTGTTGTCAAAAGGGTGAGTATCTTCACGCAGAGATGGTTTGGAGAACCACCCTGGCTCCTGATAATACCAAGTTGTAGAATAATAAAATGTATATTTGACATTTGTCCTGGGTTATCTCAACAGAGTGCCTAAAACCCTTGGAATTTCCTGAGTAATAGGAATGTCTTCTATTATTCATAATGAGCCCCTTTCAACTACACCTGAATTTATGCTAATGAAGTGACTCTTGGAGGATAGGGGCTAGTGGCCAGAGGAACCAACCACTCAGTTAGAGGGTTTGAACTTTCAGCCCCATCTCTGACCTCCAGGGATGGTAGAGGTTTCAGAGATTGAATCAATCACCAATGGCCAATGATTTGATCCATCATGCCTACATAATGGAACCTCCACTTAAAAAAACAAACATAAACCAAAGGGTTCCAAGAGCTTCCACACTGAGGTGCTGGGAGGGCGGCATGTCTGAAGAGGGCATGGAAGGTCCACAACTCCCTACCCCATACCTTACCCTATGAAGTTCTTCCATTTGACTGTTTTGAATTGTATTTTTTTATAATAAATTGATAATAGTAGTGTTTTCCTGAGTTCTGTGAATCATTCTATCAAATTATTGAAACTGAAAAGCCAGTTAGTCTGAAGCATTGGGACTTGCTAATGGCACCTGAAGTGGGGCAGTCTTGTGGGACTGAGCCCTTAACCAGCCATGTCTGTGCTAACTACAGATAGTGTCATAATTGAATTGAATTGTTGGATGCCCAGTTGCTGTCAGAGAATCAGAGATTTAGAGAATTGGTTGGTATCAGAAAATACCCCAGACAAGTCAAAATTCTGTGAAAATAAATAAAATTTAAAAGCCATGGAATCCCCAAAAACACTTTAAGCTCTGAGAGAAATGTAACTGTGATTTCAAGCCACAGATGGACACAACTTCTGTTCTCAGGTTATACGTTGACTCACTTTCTTATTTTTCTTGTTCTGTACCATTACTAGAGATAATTAAACAATGTCAGGGACAAAAATCTCCTGCCTTCTTAATGAATGACTCTTGTTATAGATTAACTTCCTCTCTGGTGTCCTGCTTTGCTCAAACTAGATAACGGAAAACCCATGATGATTATACTCTCTGTAAAAAATGTTAAATATATCCTTTCCAAAAAGAAACACTGACTATAACCAATCAAATTGCTATAACTAAGCACCAGCCTTGTATGAATAATGCTGTAATCCTGCTAAAAACTCCTCTGTCTCTGCCTGTATAAATAAAACCTTACCTTCCCTACTTCAGAATGCTGACTCCATTCCCTTGGTGTTGGAGTTTCTGAGGTCTATCCTCACACATTGCACTTAAATAAACTCTCTTTCATTAGATTTTTACCTTTTTGATTATTTGAGGTTGACACTTCTTTATAACACTTTCTTTATCAAACTCACAGAGCCTACCTTTTTGTAAAGGCCTAGGTCTTTTAGGAAGCTAATCAAGATAAAATTGTTGATGAACTCTGGCAGAGACTAATTATTTCCCAGTGTCAATTCTACTATTTTTCCTTTTATTATAGTGATAGAAACTCATGAGTTTTAGCTGTGTACATGGCCTCCAGTCTAGAGACTACATTTTCCAGACTC